TTTGCAAAAACTGGCTGACATTTTGCAAATGACGTATTTATTCTATGGTTCTCAGATTTTACTAGCAATTTCTGTAATTTTGTATTGAAGTACATTCGGTTATCCCGGCTGTGTTCTTGTTCACTACAGTACAATAATTATCATGTTCGTCAACGTAAAAAGGATATTGATATGGATTTGTTGAGATAGACTGAAATGACAGCAGGGTCTTAGTAGAATTCCAACTGTATGCTTTCATCTTCATGTAGTAATTGAGTTAATCTAAGAAAGACTAGAAGGTTTATTCAGTAGTACCTCATTTACAGGGATGGTAGCAAGTACTAAATTGACTAGATCATAGCACTTGTTTAATACACAAATTGAGAAATTAAACCGAAAATGACTTTGTTAGGGGTCTGGAAACTTTTTGTGTAAATTTCGGTCAATTATGGACATATACATACATACATGAAAAAGCTACTGATTTTAGCAATTTAACTTCCACACTACTTATATTTACAAGTAGTACACTTAAATACACTTATGCTTCACCGAACCGATTTAAGTTGGACCACTATTGAAAACCTGAAAGCTCTGAATGATCATCAGTTGCTAGGTGCAGGTCTGTCATAGGCAATGATGAGGAGGCCTACACTAGGACTAATATTGATCGGCCCATCATTTCAGTGAAACTCAACGATCTTCACAACTCAATACTCATATTTTATGCCTATTCAATATTCATTGCACGATATTATGTGTAGTGCCTTTGAAATATTACTGGTCCTTAGCCTAATCATCATCCTATACTGTAGATTGCAGATTATATAACGTTGGATATTTTATCGAATACTGTTAAGGAGAAAGATGACGAACGACGATCAACCGATTTCACGCCAATAATCTAGCCCATGTGACTGTGGCTCAACTCAGTAATCCTCTCGTCTTTTCCCATAGTATATTTGTTTAATAATGTTATGTTTGTTCGATGCAATGGGCAAAGTAATCAAATTATTTGGATACCACGACAAAGTTGTTCAGGTTAGATACCAATGGGGAGGTGTGACTGACGTAATCTAAGAGGTCAAACCATTCCCATCTAACTGGAGTAAACAAACCATCTACAGTGGTGATCTATGGGTCTCTGAAGATGAAGAAATATTAGAATAATCAGCTTCTCATTTTGGGCTTTTAGTTATAAATTAAAACAAAATATTTTCTGTAACATAGAATCACGGAATTAGTGAAATTGACATGGTATGCTTTTTAAAAACCCTAACGTAATATCTTCGAGGCAGAAGAAAAAGTGATAGACTGAAGGATACATGGAGCTGAGAGCTAGACACAGGCATTGATAGCATCAACAGCTCTTCACGACAACTAAAAAGGAAAGCATAGAGTTGGTTCGAGGTCCTTAGTCGATGGTCTTCTTTAAGAGGGGTAATAAGATTAAGTCGATAAAAAGTTATGAATAAGTTGTTTTAACAATTAAAATTTATAGGTTGAAATCAGAGTGACGACTTGCTTCAGCAGACATACTTCGAATTAGTGGCTAATACAGTGCTTATATTCTAACATTTGTATCATGAAATAATATGATTTATTAACTTCTTAGAATGGGAGATTTGCAGAAACTGTAGGAATAACATCATGTACTGATCTCATACAGAAACATCTCGAAAACTAGATAACGCTGGGCACTTGTTCTGTCCTAATATGTTACTCTAAACACTGTAATTTACTACAACTTGACTTATTTTGGAAATGTGAACTGTTGGTTTTTAACCGAGTGATCTAAGAATAACTTACTAGAAGGTTCAGAGTTCACTTACTGAAAGGGGTTTTGGATGAGAGTTTTTCGTTTACATGTCTACAAATCATAGAGCTTTGATGTACACTTTTGATAGGGTTATACTACTTCAGTTTATAGCAGTTTTACAACAACTGAAAACTTTAATTCAGAAAAGTGATTTACCTTAATTTTGTAACTAATCTTCTATGTATTCTCTTGACTTCATATAAGTTATTTAAGAGCTTTAGTCTACTGGAGAAATGTTTAGATTTTGTGTCACTGATTTGGATCATGAAGCCTAAAAACCGTGTTAGTTTTTTGTTCAATAGCTACAAATATCAGTTGAAAAGTTTGAGAGAACATCCAAACAAACAATTTTAATAAATCTCCATCTAATAAACTAATAATTCACCATTAATATTGGTTACAATGAGATATAAAAAAGAGTGCATGAATTAGAACTATCGATCTAGGTTAAGCAAAAGTTTAAGGAACGACCGTGGGCAGTGGTGAGCATCGAAAGCAAAAGAGATGGAAAAGGCGGCGGCTGTAGGTAACACCAGACAGTTCTTCAGACTCATAAGAGAAACCGGAACTAGAAAGTCAAGTGTAATTGAGACTGTCTCGGAAAAAGACGACGCTCTTATCTGCTCCCAGTCCAGACGTTTAGAACGATGGGCGGAACACTTTAAGGAGCAGTTTATCTGGGCTTCAGCTACTATACAACTACCCACAATTCCCAGACAGCGTGAATGGAACAATGAAGTAGATCCCTCGACTATCGTTGAAGTTCAAAAGTCTATAGTTAATCTGAAATGAGGAAGAGCAGCTGGTTCAGATGGATTGGCTCCAGAGGTCTTTAAGTATGGTGGTCCAATTTTAGCGATCAGGTTGACTAATATTTTAGCTAAGATCTGGGAGTTAGACGTTATTCCATCTGACTGGTCATAGTCACTGATCGTCACAATATATAAGAAAGGGTCAAAATCATCCTGTGACAACCACAGAGGGATTAGTTTAACTAATATAATATCTAAAATACTAGCCTCGATAATTATCGGACGCCTAACTAAGACTCGTGAACTGCAAACATGAGAGAATCAAGCTGGCCTCAAACCTGTTCGTGGCTGCATCGACCACATATTCACCATTCGTCAGGTTCTAGAACACAGACATACTTATCGGCGTCCGACAATGGTGGTCTTTCTTGACTTAAAACAGCATTTGACTCTGTAGATCGAGAGGTTCTGTGGCAGTATCTGTCATTGAAAGGCGTACCTCAGAAGTACATAAACCTTGTAAAGGCTCTTTACTCGAACACTACTAGTCGAGTCAGAGCTTATGGCGAACTGTCATCTGCTTTTGCAACCTCAAGTGGTGTCCGTCAAGGCTGTCCACTTTCTCCATTTTTGTTTAACTTCATCACGGACATACTGATGGAAATAACATTCTCGTCGACTGAATTCTCGGGCATTGGTCTCCGACTGGGAAGTCCACTTATCGACTTAGAATACGCTGATGACAGTCCTGTTTAGTGAAGGCACTAACAAAATGCAGTCCTTTGTTACCACTGAGCAACAATGTCAGAAAGTTTGGGATGCGCTTCTCTCGCTCTAAATGCAAATTGTTGCTTCAGGACTGGCCTGCGTCCTGCATGTTTCGGAGACACAGCATACATCAATGGTAAGAAACTCTAGGGTTTTAGCCAAGGAAGCCTGTTGACCGATTTGACATAGGGTTCGTACGTTGAAGTAGTCTAGCGCATCGACAACTTCACTTATCTCGGAAGTCTGATCAGCCCTAATGGGTTGGTGTCTGACGAAATCTCAGCACGGATTCGAAAAGCTCGCTTGGCTTTTGCCAACTTACGTCACTTATAGCGAAGGCGAGATATCCGTCTATCAATAAAAGGACGAGTATACTGCGTGGCAGTTCGTTCTGTCCTACTTTACGATAGCGAAACGTCGTCATTGAGAGTAGAAGATACTCGTAAGCTACTAATATTTGACCACAGATGTCTTAGAAATATTGCTGGCACCTGCTGGGATTACCGGGTAAGTAATGGTGAGGTTAGACGCATGGTATTAGGGAATGATGGTAAATCAGTTGATGAGGTTGTTAATCTTCATCGACTGAGATGGTTGGGCCACGTGTTACGTATGCCTGAACACCGATTACCACTACGCGCAATGCTAACCGGTGTTGGAGATGGTTGGAAGAAAGTTAGGGGTGGCCAAACCAGAACATGGCATCTGTGCTTGAGGTTACTAACTTCTAGTCTGGGCCATGTTGGTAGATGCAGACTACTTGGTTGGAGTCTGCGTGACCATCGTAACCAATGGTTGGAGACTCTTGGTGACATGGCTCAGAATCGATCAGAATGGCGTCGGTGTATACACTCCCTGTCTTCCCTTAAACTAAGAGACTAAAATCACTTCATATCTTTCTTTCTACGAACTAATTCTTTCTTCGTGCACTATATCCTTATTGCAATCTTTCTCCTATATATTACCACCTTTGACCTAACCGCCCCTATGAATTCGGTGTTCATTTTGCTGTGCTAATGCGGTGTGGCAACCTGGACCGATGCACACATGTGCCTGGTCCTACGTTGTAGCTGACTGACTGAGAACTATCGATTACAGAACTTGATTTGTGGTTAGATCTTTATTTTTGCTGGGCCTATATCTAACTACAGGATGATGAGAAAATTTGTTTTATGTATTTAATATACACGTTGTTTGTTTTACAGACCATCATACCAAACACTAAAATAGTTAATGATGATCTGGTGAAAATATTCTAATTTAAAAAAAAAACATGTACCTACAGTACTTGCTGACATGATATACTTCGACTAGTTTTTTTGTTTTTCTAAAGCAACTAATGTTTAACCTATTCCAGTCACAACAATATGCGTAGGTGATTTTTTTCGCAGATTTACAATTCGACAGTGATTGGACTATCAGATATCTTAATGGCTGATAGACAAATAAATTCATCTAGGCAACAAAAACAAATGAACAAAATGCTAAAAATATTTTTATCGGTTTCTTATTGGCTCTCGTGAATTGGCCTTTGCAAGTGACCTTCAAAAACGTGGGCGAAAATAAAACCACGCTTCTGTTCCTATTCTATGACATAATGCGTATCTAAAATAATAAAAACCCGAAACAAATTCTCTCTAAAGTCTTGACTGCACATTGTGGATTAGCTTGTTGCAAAACATATGATAAATATGGATGCTTTTATAGAAGCATTTTTCGCTATAGATCAAGATCGTTCAGGTTAGAATTTTGTTATTATTAATGGGTGTTTGAAGCTCTGGTGAATTTTAGTAGCTTATTACGTATTTTTATTCCGATTAAGATTGAACTATACTCTTGAGTAATAAATAATGTAAAAAAAGTCTGAATAGACATTTGTCTACTATATAATTGGAAAAATAGACATACTGCGTAAGAAATCAACTAAATTCAAAATTCAGTTAACTGTAAATGCTTTCAGATGATTGACAAATTTTTTTAATCAGTATTCCTGAGGTTATATGTTCGAATCCAGTCTCAGTTTGAATTTTCTTAAAATATAAATAATGATTCCAGTAAAAAGAGTTCTCTATTCGAAATCACTTCTTCCGAATATGTAACACAAAATATCAATGATGATGGATAGTCTAGGGCTGATGAAACAATTACTATTTATTAAGTTAATTGTGAAAGTAGGAGATTTAAATTAGAAACTAATATCTTTGGATGCCAACTCAGTCTTCTGAAGGTTAAGAGTTTGTATATGAGACTGAAGGTTCTGGGTTCAAGCCCAGTGTGTGGAATCGAGTTTGTACATCAGTGATGAGTCCCATACTAGGAAGAAACGACCGTCCGATGCTTCCAGATTCTCAATGGTGGTCTAACTTGGACTGATTCATGATTTTGAGGAAAAACATTAGACTCTGAATAAAACAATCAACCTCTAAGTAACTAATGAACAATAATAATAAATATAAATTTTAGGTTAAGATGGGAATTTCTATGTGACCAATTTAAACGAAAATAAATTTGTTTTGATTTTGTCTTTATAACAAGCTGAAACTGTGATTAATAGTCCTTCCCATACAATCATCTAGGTGACTGTAATTATAAACAAACGAATTATGATTGCTGTTTTTTTGTACTATGACTATGATAGTTTCAAACTAATTGATCAATGAATAGGAAGCTAATAATAAACATTTTTTGTTATATCCCAATGCCTAGAAAAATTGTATTTCTGACGTTTCGTGACTTAATGTAAGCCACTTTTCCCGAGTAAATAAATAGCCGAATTAAATTAGCATAAGTTTATACAGTACTATTCTATGTTTATTAAATGACACTGATATTAAAATATTCAAACTACAGACTAGTATTTACGAACCGATTTAATCAAACAATAAGGTCAACCGTTCCATAATCCTGTCCCATAGAAATATATATGTATATGCGAAATGATTGTTCACTTATTCTATTTACATTTGGAAGTGGTTTATGCTAAAAATAAATTGACAATGTAAATCGATTACAGTCACCCTATTAACAACAATCAAATATTGATGGGTTAAGATTTGTTTGTGCATGTGTAAAACATTTAGTCTACGTTTGATATATTCTTATTGATTGATTGATTGATTGGCATTTTCAGAAACTATCACAATAGACGAATTACAAGCATACATGGTGAGAAATGATATGGAACCTGCTTTCGTAGCGGTAAGTGTGTTATTGATATTTAGTTTGCAAAGAATAATATTATGTAAGGTAGATGTGTATAGTTAGCAGGAAACACTGCTTGACTTGAGTTTAGTGCTAGTTGACGAAGTTGGTCTTTTCCACTGGATTCGAACGTGCATCGCTCAACTTCATAAACTGAAACATTACTAGTGAACTACTCAGGCATCAAGTGACCTCATGTAGGGCTGATATATTTGCTTTAACTAACCTCTGAGAATATTATTATTCAAAAATGTGCCAGCGAGACCAGAATTCCTGGGTTCGATTCCTAAATGCGGGTTTGGGCGCTCCTGAATAGTCCTATTCTAGGGCGAAACGGCCGTCCAGTACTTCCAGAATTCAAATAACGTTCTAGCCAAGATCAGTTCGTTGTTTAGACCATAAAAGTATTGTTTGTTGACAAAATTGGTTTTGATGGATACCTTAAAAATGCTGCTTTTCCCTGTTATGTTATAATAAAAAACTTAAGAAAATAAGGAACTGTTAATTTTCTTCTACCCATGGGATACAAATTATCTACACTTTAAGTATTATTCCCAGTAGTTAAGTGAGGTGAAAGATATCAGTTAGACTTACTTAATCAACAATTTGGAAAAAAGAAGATAATTTTCAAACTCTTTGTTGTTTTATTTCATGTCTACATATTTCTGTATGATATTATCTAGGAATGTTTAACTTTATACCTGAATACTTTAATCTCCCATTAGTTCGTATTGTCAGAGAAATAACCTGTAGAATTCAAAGTGATAAATTATTACTTCCGATCAAGTAGTAACAATTTACATAACATTATGATACAATATGATCATTATTAAGTGTGATATAGTTCAATCAGCATCTATAAATCGTCACGTGTAGTAATTATTCTTCTCATTGGTGATTATATCTTCAGTGGTGTTAGTTAACAGCTAGATGAACCAATATCAATGACTATGATTCTTTAGCTTTAAAAAAAATCTAGTTTGATCTTCCAACATATCATAACTTTCCTTCAAGAGTAATGTAAATTGATTTACTCCTTATATTCATCCACATTTCTCACTTGATCTTTTTCAAATTTGTTTCAATTGTACTATCAGTAATATTTCTTTTAGTAATTTTATTCTTATGACGATTTGGACTTAATAAATTAGAGGTCTTGGCATTAACTGACTTTTGCACCTATTAATAAACTTGAGTGGATTACCATTTGCTATTAAAGTGTCAGTCAGTAACTTTCCATCTTTTTCCACCATATCAGAGGTACATATTCTTCGAGTCCTCTTAAAGAGGCACTTAACTAGACCTCTCTTGTATTGCAATGGACAGAAACTATGGAAATTTAAGTATTGTCCCGTCCGAGTTGGTTTCCTATACACGGACCGTCTAATAGTGCCATCATCCCTTCGACTTAAAAGTATGTCTAGAAAGGCTAATTGGCCATTACTTTCTGATTCATGTGTCATCACAATATCGTTTTGAACACCATTGAGTTTATCCAGTAATCGGTAAACATCAAAATCCTTATCACATATGATTAGGATATCGTCCATATATCTTCTATATAGAGTTGTCTCACTAATGAGGTCGCTCGTCATATTTTCCACATATGACCTGAATACCTCAGCTAAGAGAGGCCCTAAAGGGCTACCCATAGCTACACCATCAACTTGTCGAAAATATTCACCATCAAACGTAAATTGAACATTAGCTGTACATAATAAAAGTAATTCTTTCAAAAATGGTAACGGAATAGGAAAAAGGGGAAAGTTTTTTTAAATATAGTCACAAAGGAAATCCACCGTCTTTGTTAACGGTACATTCGTGAAGAGGGAGTTTACATCAAATGAATGCAAAGATTTATCTTTAATATTAATGTCACCAAGAAAGTCAATTAGTTCAAATGTATCTTTTAAAGAGAACTTACATAGATTAGTACGAATTGGGTTTAACAGTTTTACTAACCATTTAGCTAGCTCGTGTGTACAGCTAATGTTCAATTTACGTTTGATGGTGAATATTTTCGACAAGTTGATGGTGTAGCTATGGGTAGCCCTTTAGGGCCTCTCTTAGCTGAGGTATTCAGGTCATATGTGGAAAATATGACGAGCGACCTCATTAGTGAGACAACTCTATATAGAAGATATATGGACGATATCCTAATTATATGTGATAAGGATTTTGATGTTTACCGATTACTGGATAAACTCAATGGTGTTCAAAACGATATTGTGATGACACATGAATCAGAAAGTAATGGCCCATTAGCCTTTCTAGACATACTTTTAAGTCGAAGGGATGATGGCACTATTAGACGGTCCGTGTATAGGAAACCAACTCGGACGGGACAATACTTAAATTTCCATAGTTTCTGTTCATTGCAATACAAGGTCTAGTTAAGTGCCTCTTTAAGAGGACTCGAAGAACATGTACCTCTGATATGGTGGAAAAAGATTTGGACTTAGTCATATTTATGCGAGTCTCTATAGTATTCATTACAGATTAACTAGGTCTACGAATATAAATAAATTACCTTGACCATCAGGGAAACGAAGCTTGAAATAAAGCTTTAAAAAACTCACTACATGTAAACATAAAACACTTAAAAGTAATGTTAGAAACGTATTTTCAAAAAAGCTATTTCCTGATATATATATCAGTGAATTTAGCTTCAACAATGAAGCAAAATGCCGTATAATCAAATTCAGGAAATTGCGTTTTAAGAATAGGATTTAAGTCATTAATTTCAAGTTACTATACGCTTAATTTATTTTTGTGAATGGTATTTTATCACCTATTCTCTTATATTAGTTTGGTGCTAAATATAGCTAGATGTATCAAACTATTTTTACTTTTAGCCAATGAACCACAAATAGCAAGTCCGTTTAACTTCAGTTTAAACAGTTGGATAGTATCACTAGGTCATCATACAAATTGTATCATATTTAGATTTACTTTTTATTTATTTTAAAGGTTCTGCCTAATCAAACGATACCCTGCATGTTCATGCATGATTGTATGGTTATTCTATTAGTGTTCAATTAATTTTAGCATTTCATGTTATAATAAGTTTATTTCTTGAATTCATCAAATGAATCAATGCAATTTTATTCATTAGGACTATTGAACTATCAGTTACTTAATTTCTGCAATATAAACCTTTTATACTATTCTAAAGTACATTTATATTCAATAAATTTCCTTTCCATTTACAGATATGATATCTTTCACACGTTTCGAATTGATTAACTCCAACAACAAAAAACAACTTAAAAACAAATAAATTCACTTGATGTTGTTTTATTTGTATCTTCCCATTGTTATTTAGGACTGCAATTGATCAGTCTCATGTTGGCATATGTGCATCCTGTGCGGATTGCCTAGATATAGCCTTAAGTCACAAACTTTTTAAACAAAGATGGATAGTGTCTAACAGTGGAATCCAGGACACGCGTTTTGTCCTATTTGAGACTCGACTGCTGAATAACAATGGGAAGATACAAGTAAAACAACACCAAGTGAATTTAAACTTCACCCTATTGCACAAACAGGTGGCTATTAGGACTCAGTAACTAAGTGAACAACGCGATGGTGTTTGAAACGAACGGTACTGGGTTCGAGTCCTGGAGTGAACATCAACTCTGAGATACAGGTACATCCAGCTGACAAGTCCCAAATAGTACGAAGTGCGCCTCCTCCATTCCATTGCTAGGCACTATTCATCTTTGCTTAAAAAACTTAAAAATAGTATGCAAAAGTTAGATAAAAACAAAAATACCCAATACAAATTAGAAAACTCTTTATTCGACAATTGATTTTATACGTAACATAGAAATAGAAACTTTATGAATGAATCCATTTGAATGGGTAATCAATATTGTAGAATTGTATCTTAATTTAAATGGTCAAGGTTATTTTTGTTTATTTCGAATTTATTGATTTATTGATTTCCATTTGGAGAAAAAAAAATATTATACTTTTCAAATACTACTGAATTCGATGGTAACATTAATGATCATTTTAAAGAAAGAATATATTTCATTGTATCCTAATTGATATCTATTCATTGTATGAAAGAAATCATTTTATTCAACTATAGAGTTGAGTTTGATTTCTATAGTCTAATAAAATAATACAACTTCACTTATTGATTATTTGTGCTTTATTAATTTTAGTTACCATGTTGTAAAGATTTCATGTAATGTGACTTATATATGTCAGTAAAATCAATAAAAATGTTCTATATTTGTCTAATCCTAAATGCACTTAATAATGTATAATATCTTTGTATATTTTAATTAGAAAAGATGAATCATAAACCACATAGTAAACAGCAGATATATTCCAACTGATTAATAGTAATAACTTAAATTCAGTATAGTGTTTGATATTATACTTATGACTTGTTTTAACACGTTTCATATCTACGGTTTTTAAGGTTTTAATGACTAACTATAATAAGATTGTTTAAATGGATTATTTTATTCTTTTATAGTTTAGTATTTCATGACCCTAGAAATTTACTTCTTTCATCCTAAGTCATAACAGGAGTTGTGAGTGAATAAAATTTATACCATTAAGGAGAGGAACAACTAGATAAAACAGTAGATTAGATGGTGGTCGTAGTCGACAAGAAACCTCGGACCCGGGTTAGCACTCGTCAGCAAGGTGTACCTCTAATCTTGAGGGAACTGGTGCTTCCTGACGGATTCGATCCCGTATCACACCAGCTTCACAGTCAGAGACGATACCACTGAGCTATCCGGGCCGCAACAGATCTCCTGTAAGACTGTGATGTAATCACAATTGGTTGATCACTGGGCGGTGATTAAGGTCATGTGTGTCAAGACCTTAATAGTCCAGATCGAATGCTATCGACCATGTAGAGTAGAGTTTATGATATACAAATCATGTAAGAATCTCTTAGCATTTCGGTTTGTCTATCAGAACTGATTGAATAAAAATAGACTAATCAGTATATTTCAAATTTTGAGCCAGAT